TAGGGTTTCGAGCGCTTCATGAATTTAACATGGCTATGTTAGGAAAATAGGGATGGAGATTTCTCACTAACCTAGACTCCTTGGTAAAGAGGTTGATGAAGGCATGATATTATCTGAGGATGGATTTCATGCAAGCAGATATTAAGCCTACTTGTAGTCTCACATAGAGAAGCATATGGCACTCAAAATAGCTATTGCGTCGAGGTTGTAGGAAGCTTGTTAGAGATGGTAGAGACATTGAAATTTGGGTTGACCCATGGCTTCCTAGTAACTCTAAATTTTTTGTGCAATCACCTTATTTAGATGGTTGTGAATTGAGATATGTTTATGATTTAATTTATGAAGAGAATAATGTGTGAAAGAGGGACATAATGCTATCTACCTTTAATAGCCATGAAGCACAGTTAATTTTATCTTCACTGTTAAGTTGGTTGAAAGCACATGACAGTTGGACATGGAACCATATAAGAAATGGGTATTATTCTGGTTGATCAAGGTACCACTGTGCCATGGATCTGTAGAGAAGCTTCACTAAACCCTCAAGCTCAACCTAGATTTTTGGGTGCCATCGTTTATAGGGCTTGGATCTTCCAAAAAAAAAAAAAAAAACGATTGATGGTGTGGAGTGCTTATAGGAACATACTTCCAACTAAAGACAATCTAAGCAAGAGACATGTGTCGATGGACTTGGAATGTCTTGTATGTGGTTTAGAGGGTGAGTTTGTAGTACATTACCTAGTTTAATGTCCTATGGCCCAAGCAGTATAGTTAAGTAGCTCCTTAACTCTTCATTCTGTGAATATCCTATAGAGATGCTTGTTGAATTTTTTGATACTATGTTGGGCCTCTTGGAGAAAGATCAAATGGAGCTTCTTTATATTCTTTGTTGGAAACTCTAGAGTGGTGGGAATGATGCCTAATGGAATGGACGGAGAGGAACACCTCAATCCATCATTAAGCGAAGCTTAAACTGTATGGGTGAATATCAATGAGCGAGGGAATCAATGAGGAAAAGAGTAAGATTTACATAGCATCATTTAGAAACTAAGTGAAGGGCATAAGATATACACCATATAAAGATCAACATTAATGGGGCTGTATCTTAATAGCAACAATCTTTTGGTATAGGAGCTATTACACGGAATCATGAAGGGGGAGTACTAGTCGTTATGGTTTGTAGAAGACAAGGACTAGTTACAGAAGAAGTGGCAAAAGCAAGCTACCCAAGAAAAGCACTATGATGGCCCTAAGATCTTGCCCTTGACAATATTGTGGTAGAGGTTGATTGCACTAATCCAGTCGTTGCAATTCACAGCAAGCCACTTTTTCACTTTAGCTTGGGTTTTGTTATTTAAGATTGTAAAGGTTTAAGTTCCTCTTTTACCTGTTGTAAACTTCAACATGTTAGATGTGTCACCAATGCCATTGCCCACGAACTTGTAAAGTGTGCCTTACAAACTGAGGCTGACGAGTATTGGATGGAAGACGTTTCAGATCATGTAGCACTTATAGTAGTAAGAGACAAGCTATCTATAGAATATTGTATTTGTTCCCATCCTATTTTTCAAATAATAAAGTGGCACATATTCATATGAAAAAAAATTATTTTCTTTAATATTAACAATCCCTATTCTTCCTCCATCAGTTTCCTTTCCATTGACTCAAGGCTAGCCAAAGTTCTAGCCAACAACCTATCACAACAACCACCTTTAGTCAACAATAGCCACCCATTGCTTTTTCTCCATTCCAAACCATAGCATCACTTGTGCCACCACTCCTAGAACTTTCCCCGACAAAGTTGCCTCCACCACGATAGAATCCAATAAAGACAAAACTGTGCCTTAGATCAATGTATCATTACCACAAACCAGTTAGGACTTGTCTCTCTTGATGCTCCATTGGTCCATAACAAACTCCCATGGAGAGTCCCCATACTAGGCAAAGGGGAGCAAAAGGTAGATAAAGAGACAATAAATGAAAATCCAACAAGAAAAGAAAATTGCCCTTCAAAGAGGGAGAAAAACTACCTCCTAAAACCTTAGAAGAAAACATCTCATGAAAATTAACAGTTTATTTACTTTTTATGTAAGGTATATCATAAATTGATATAAGTATTGATGACTATTGAATCTTGTTTATAAAATATGCAGTCTATGTAAGATAGATTACAAAATTGCAAAGTTAAAAGTATAAAGTAATGATAATTTGATTGAATGTTATGGGTTGAAGCGGAGGTCTGTCCATGTGACTAGTTGACTTGACTTTTCTTTTTAACCGACTTGCTTTTTCCATTTTAAAAAGATTAAAATGAAAAGGGTTTAGTAGTTGAGACTATCCAGGTTTCTTTAACTTGTTTTTGCTCCCTTTCTTCTCACGCATTTCCTAACGGATATCTTATAGCAATTCTTCTCATTCCCTTCACCTTCTTCACTTCATCAACAAGTTGATCACTAAATAAGTAAGTTCTACTCACTTGAGTTTATTGATTTTTGTAACTAATTAAAATCTTGATTAAGAAAAGCTAAACTTGAATTACATCGATTACATTGTTGATTAGGTTTATATTTACTTTCTGTGTGTTGAGTTTAGTTTTAAGCAAAATTTGGGCATTCCTTTATAGGCTTTCCAATCAATTCTTTAGGAGGTTCAAAACTAATTTTTGAGGGGATGTGGCTTATTAAAAAAACTACAAATGACTATCTAATTTATAGTAAGTTGTTATCTTCTCCATCTAATATTTTGTTTGAAACTTAGTGCTTTTCAGAAGGGTTTTGTTCTTGATTGTGTGAGATCCATCATGTGGGAATTTAGTATATCGATAGTTGTATGTGCATATATTTACTATAAGTGGGGACGTCATGCGACCATTGTGTTTTTTTATAATTGATTTTTGTATTGAGTTTGATTAATGGTGTTTGCAAATGTATCATATTTTTTTAAGGCTATCAAAATTTAACTTTAGGGATGTAGATTTATATAATTCAATAATTTTATTTTCTCCAAAGCTTGAGAATTTAAGAGCAGAAGGTTATAATTTTTTTTATACTGTTTAAAAGGTTGTAATTTAAATTATGTCTAATTGGTGTGTTAGCAGTCAAATCCATGAAAATAGTAATTAAGTTGCCTGTTGGGTTGACTTGTTTCTTTTCTCTATTTCTATTGTGTTGCATCAATATGTTTTTCTTTCTTTATCTTATTATGATCAATTTTAGGTGTTCCGTTCATGTGGCACCATGAAACATGCATTGCTTCTTTGCATCAAAATTTATTTTCACAAGTAGAATTGACATAAAATTAAAATGGGGAGACTATTTCTTTTTAGCTGAGGGCAGACTTTATTTATTCCCTTACATAGTTTATTATCAATTGAAACTTAATGATTTAAGACTATAAATTTTTTTGTTTTGAAAGACTAAAAACTATTGCATTAATTAGTTTGTCACTACTTCATGTTGATTTCAAGCTTATATGGTTCATACGTTGTGGGATATCCCAAGAGCATAATTAATGTCATTTTTCTTTTTTTCTTTTTAGGCTTGTTTTGTAAATTAAGTTCATTCATCTTTACTGAAGCCCAACTCTTTGACTCTATGTGTTTGAAGGCTAGTGTAATATCCCAAAATTTTGGGGATATTTTATCATTAAGTAAGGGACTTATATGAGGGAAAATATTGTTTTGGGGCTTAATCGCAAAATTTTAAAAAGTTGAGGGGTTAAAAAGAAAGGAAATTAGGATAAGGATCAGCTGATATTTTCATTCCTTTTCTTCCCAGCCATACACGTTTCTGCTCTGCTCTTCTTCTTTGTGCAGCCCGAAAAACCCCCCCCAAAGCCACCAACTTCCTCTTCCTTTGAAAACCAAAAAAGGGGCTTGAAATTCTCCTTCTTTCTTGTTCAATCACAAGATTTGGGGCTTAGAATCTTCTCCCTCAACCCAGAAAATCCCAGTCCTGCTCTGCTCTTCTCCCTTGTCCGCCGGCTGCTATGTGGGTGTGAGAGTTTGGGCCTTTTCTGGTAAGATCTAGCCATGAATCCCTCTCTTTCACCTTGATTTAGGTTGGGTTTACTTTAATTGCTCTTGTTCCTCCAATTTTTGGGTAGTTCCGTGAGCTTCCCCTGCAGATCCCGCCGGCCTTCCCCAATCTGCTAGCTCCGGTTCCTTGCTTGTAAATTCTGGTATGTGGCAGCCTTAAACCATTGTTTTTAAGCTTGATTAAGATAGAATTAGCTTGATTAATTGGCTGCCCCTGTGATGTCCAAATTTGGCTGAAATTGGGGAGGAATTCTGGTAGCTTTAGGATGAAATTAAGTATTGATTTAAGTGGAATTTAGGTAATTGAGTGTTAATTGACTGTTGTGTGATTTTTGGAAAGAAAACCCCGTGATTAGCTAGTGTTTTGGCTAATGTTTGGAAGTGGCAGTACTGTTCACGTCGTGGTACTATTCACCAAGGGTCAACGATTAACGGGGATTTAAATGATTAGTTTGTGATATAAGAATGAATGTGGAGATGTCCAGTTATGTGGAGATTGATGGGAATAGCATCTGGATTAGGAGTGATTTTAATGATGATTTCAGTTTGAATTTGTGATAGTCCGGTATTAATTCTGAGGTGTTTTGATTAGGTTCCTGATCGTTCTGTCAGTTAGCATTGAGATTGAGTGCTCGATTTTGTGCGAGTGAGGTAAGTAAATTATGGTAAAACCCTTCGATTTCAAAGCATGTTTTCAATTGTTTTTGAGATGGTGGCAAGGTTTAAATTGATTTTAAATTGATTTTATCAGCATCTGAATGTGATTAAACTGAAATGGAAATTGTGATGGTTTTTATGAGAATTTCCTTGTTTTTTTGAAATTGAGCATGATTGGAATGAAAATGAGGATTTTATTGATTTTCTGGAA